CCACCGTGAAGAAGCCAGACTTCCATAGCACTTGAGACGATGCAGCGCTAAGCAGTCACAATAGAAGCACTTTTCGTCGTCTGCGTCACAGCCGCCACACATCCCTGTAATGCAGCAAACAACGACATCAAATCTGAGCCGTGTCCTGGCTGCGACGGCACGGCGGACGTCAGGGCTGACTGATTTAAAATGTCATCCAAACTTCGGAACTTTGACTTCGGACTGCGAGCCTCCATGTGGTTCCTGCCGCTGCCCACAAGGCCCTGACGTCGCCTACGGTCTCTGAGGTACCTGAGAGCGGAATCTGTGAAGCCAGATGCATCGAGAAGCTTGCAACCTTTGTCCAAACTAGGAGCCCCCAGGAGCACCAAGCACCACGTGGCTTAGCGAAACGTGCTGCGAGACTAGCCCAAGTGGCAACTTCCACTGCTGGAAAACCGGATCCTTCGTCCAACGGCCAAGCCTGACATGGCACAACCCGCCAGCTGCAAGGCAACAATGATCACACGCATCCCGGTCCCCTGCCTGTACAGACCCTGCCGAACTTCTGTGTTGCGGCTCCGTGCAGCTTTCCAGCTGTCCTCAGCGAATTGTGCAGGCAGAGCATAAGCCATCCACGAAAGGGAAGTGGCTTGGCGCGGGACAATGGTGCTTTGCATGATTTGATGCGGCCGCTTTTCTCCAACTCGCAGGAGGAAGGACCTGAGAGTGCCAGCCAAACTTCTAGGCATGCAAAGTTCATGTCCGGGTTGCGCTCCCGTCGCAGGGCACTCTACCCGGCAACCGAGGCTGATGCCAAAGACGCAGCATGCGAGACATGCGAAGTTCGCCCACCCTTGTCGCAGCCTGCCATGCGTCTGTCGCACTTACTACTCGTCGCATACACTTCCTAGCTGGAGGAAAATGTGCAGCTCCAATTGGTCCACACCCCTGGTCGACATGGACTTCCCTGAAGCAGCCTTCTCCGCGCAGGCGTACAGGCCCATCCTGACGGCCGGTAAATGGAGAGCAGCACGACTAGTGGCTGTGACCGCTCGAAATCTGAACATGTTCCCTTCGGTTATCTGAAGCCTATCCAAGCCCATGTGAGCCATGCCTACCTTCCATGTCGCCGGACCGAGACCTACACTTTGTACATGTGATGGACAGGCCATTTTGGGTCATACATGGTGGCTCTTCCAGAAGTGCGGGTTTGGGGGGCCGCGGACGTGAGAATCCAGAGGCCCTACTACGTCGAGCGCGCGAAAACCCGAGTGCCGCACAGCGCCGACCAGCCCCTGAAGGCTCTGCGGACCTCAGCAAGGGCTGTTGGCTGGGGGCTCCAAGGCCTGGGGCTACCAGACTCTACCAGGCCTGCACCATCCATATGTCCGAGCCAACTTCCGGCAGGATCAGTCTGAGATTCTGGCCAACTGCCGACAAAGGACTTGACCATCCCACTTCTCTGCCACATCCACCAGACGGTTCAAGCCTTGGTGCAGACTTGCCAGAACTTTCTGTAACTGAGACTTGCTACTAAGCTGAGCATGCTGAGCCAGTGAGATCGAGTGTCTTTTGGCCCTTTTCAAGAACGGCCGGACTCCTGACTCTTGACGATGCTAAGGTAAATAAGGCAAATCCATATACATCCCTTTAAACCAAACAAACTCACGGTTGCTGAGGCAAGGGCGGCAGACCGAGCACCAACGCTCCACCCACCACCGTTGCCTTAGCTCCTTCCTTCTCCCGCCTCCCCTACCCCGAGGCCCCGGGTCCTGATTGCAACACTAAAGCGACGCCTCGGCCTCGATAGCGCAAGAGCTCAGATTCTGACCGCGACTGACGCACGAATGTCGCTTTCACTTCGTCCGCTTCCCTGTGCAAGCCGTCGGCCAACAGTCAGATGTAGTTGTCATATCGGACATATCTCAAGTCCGCAGCGCGGCACTCCAGAAAAAACTCTGGCCTCTTCCGCGCATGCGAGAAGGCCCAGAGTCGCCAGGCCCGGATCCAACGCAGCGCCCGGGAGAGAAGTACAGCCTCCCAAGCAGCTACTGCTAAAGCGTCAGTGGCAGCTCTTCGCTGTCTGGGGCTTTTGGGATAGACTTGAAGATACGAGTATTCCTGTGGCGGGTCTGCATCGGTTCCCCCACCCGACTCCCTTTGCGGAGAGAGGTCTGTGCCTCCGCCACGCCCTGCCCAGCCAGGCGTCGCAGAAGGAGAAGCCGCCAAGAAGACAGCAAACGCGCCCTCCTGCATGTTAGCTCAAAGCGTTACAAATCCTTACTCTTGTAACTTGTGGACCCACTGCACTGCTTTCTATGGCTACTCTGAAGGGGTCCTCTGCCACAGAAGCCGGATTGCGGCGACCTGGCTCCGTCGGCGCCGCACCACGCAGCCGTGCCAAGCCATTGCCACGGTCTGCGCCCAGAGTGTGGCACGAGATGCAGTCCAAAGGTGGACGGACTGTATGACCAGGGAGAGCTGCCTCAAGCGACGTTGCCACAAATGCAGGACTTTCCGCTTGGTGCGTGTGTGACGGTAGCGCTCGCAGAGCAGATGCACCCCACGCTTGTGGCGCTGCTCCACGGAGCTTTGTCGCCAGGCGCAGAGGCATAACAGCAGCAACTCTTCGGTGTCTGCGGCTCTGCACTCCCCAACGTGGCACCACCATTGCTGCCAAGCCGACCATTCGCTGCGCAGCGCATGCGCTTCAAAAACATCCGAGACAGACTCGAGAAGGACTGGCACCAAAGTCCGGAACTCGCGGCCTCTCTGAACGGCTGCACACCAGCATACGAAGCCAGCTCGCAATAGCAAGCTCAGGCGGCGTGTCATGCCTCGTGCAACACGCAGTGTGGCCAGTTCCAGCGCTTCCTGCACGACCTGGCAGGCTCTGCGAGATTCGGGAAATGCCGGGAGCACAAGTGGCCACTACAACATGTAAACCGGCTGACCATGACAACCTACCTGGAGCCAAGCCCTCCAGCTTCGACCAATAAGCCCCGTCGTTTGCTGATGTCGGCGATACCTAAGCTGGTCCAACGGCTCATCCCGAAGTTTCCAGACTTGCTTTGCAGGGGGGAGATTCGCGTGCATCCACGCTAGACGAATATGCTGCCAGGTCACCGGACAGCATCGAACAGATGGATCCAGCGGCCCAGGCTGTAATGCCAAAGCCTGGCGAATGTCAAGGGCACACACCCAAGCATGAACCTGCAGCTGACGCAGTTCCGGTTCAAGCTTGGCAGGTGGAGGCGACAACAATAACCACAACCACGACAGCCGTCGAAAGGAGCGGTCTCATACACTTTTCTGCTGCAGCACACGAGGGACTGATCACTTCCCGCGTGCGACAGCCCTGCAGCCAGGTGCTGCTAAGGGCGAACTTGCCTTACAAGTCGAACGGACCAGATGCCCGCAACCTGCCGCCACATGAACCCAACCAGCACCTTGGCAGTCCGCTAGCAGAGCCCAAACGGAAGTGTCCAGGTCTGTCCCCTTGTCGGATGGTGTCAAGATATAGGTCGGCGTCAAGATCAGACGAATACTCAAGCTCGTCCTATGATCCAGATCGCGGTCCCGTCGGGCTGCGGTCTCCTTTGGGCGCCATTGCCGACCACCGCCACTGCGTCGGTATGCTCGGTTGCACATCAGAACCGGCATGCAATGCTTGCCAGGCTTCGTTCGGAGAGGAAATGCGAAAACCGCAAGCATTGCCATTGCTCGTGCTGCACACGCCATCCCCTCAATTCCAGCTCTTCGAACTCCATACTGCGAACTCACAGGTCGTCATCGTCGTCACTCGGGACCGGGACATCTTCTGCTCGCAGCTGCTTGACTTCTGCAACGTTCTCGCCGGCGGCTTGGAACAGAAGCGAAGCCTGAGCCTTGTCTGCAACTCCCGTTACCTGCCCCCTCTGACTTTTATCTCGTTGCTCTTGGAGCACAGCAAGGACCGACAGCCAAGGCTGACTGGCCGATGTCGCTCGCGTGCTTTTGGCGATGCCCTGCCCCACCATCACACGCATCTTCCCGATCGTCATGCCCAGACCGAAGCTGGCATCCAGCAGCTCTTGCTTCAAGTCCGGTGGACACGTCGTGAACTCCCCTCCTGGCAATCTAAATGCTTCCTACTAGGGCTTGGCTCCAGCTCATCCGACAAGGCTTTCAGAATGCAGCAGACGGTTACACCTCTGCACGTGCGTCCCTTCGCGACTCCCGTCGCTCTGTACGTCAACCTATGTACGAGCATGTGCATGTATGTATGTATGTATGTATGTATGTATGTATGTGTATGTGTATGTGTATGTGTATGTGTATGTGTATGTGTCTGTAAACTGTATATGTATGTATGTATGTATGTCTGTCTGTCTGTCTGTCTGTCTGTCTGTCTGTCTGTCTGTCTGTATGTATGTCTGTATGTATGTCTGTATGTATGTCTGTATGTTATGTTATGTTATGTTATGTCATGTCATGTCATGTCATGTCATGTCATGTCATGTTATGTTATGGTATGGTATGGTA